AGAATTAAAATGTTTGTTTCCCAGCAGTTTGTACAACTGTTAAATGTAATAATGTAAAACTCCTGATACTGGAAAAATTGTACCAAGATGCAGTGTCCCTGTACTCCCAGTTAAGCAAATGGTATAAACCATAGTTAACTTACAGAAAAGTAAATTTGGAATCACAAATCCTCTAACCATGACCTAAGACTTGTGTCTCTTATTTCTACTTAAAATTAGAAGCTCTGAGAATTTTGGCACTCATTATAAAAAGATTAACATTCCCCTTCAGTCTTGTACCTGTGTGTTTCTGTTGACTTCAGTCATTCTGATTTATTCTTGTACAAGATCTGGCTCTGCAGTGACTTAAGGTAAATAACTTCCAAAACACTTACTGATAAGCTAAAATAACAGGAGACTGGCTGAAGCCTTGCCAGGCAGCAAGTGCCCTGTTCCAGAGAGGTCTCCTTGTCCCTATGTTACACTTTATTGTGACACTTGGTTCACTGTGTTGTTGACTAGTTGGAGAGCCTTCAACTGCAATAGCTATATATTGTTGGGGTTAGAAGGGCAGAGATTAGTTTTAGGCTAAATGGCATACATTTAAGTTGGGAAAGGTATTTCTGCTTTAAGAGTTTACCCATGACTGGTAAAGCACTAAATCTGTACTTGTGAAGAAAAGAAAAACTCTTATCAGGCTTGAGGTTACAGTTAAACTGAATCTGAGTGAAAGAATGCGCATCAATACAACTTGGAAATATCAAAAGATTATACTGGACATTAAAAGTTTGTTTCTTAAAGTAATCATTCTAAGTCGGAGTCACTGAACATGCCTAGATTTATCTCAGAGTTGTTACCAGTAGAGTATTGCTTTTGTAAATGCTCATGCCCAATATGGTGATTCCTCTTGATGGACTGTTGTTTTGACACTACTGATTGTCATGCAGCTTTCTTAGGTGTTTTGTTTGGTGTCTTTGGTTGGTTGTTGTTTTGGGTTTTTTTGGGGGGGAGGAAAGGGCTGTTGTTAGGGTTTTGGTTTTTTTTTTTTCCTCCTAAATCAAGTTTCTCTTGTGTATTATCTCCTTTTTGTCCAGTCTATTCTGGTATTCTTTCTTTCAAACTGAATCCGGTGAGCAAAGTGCTGTTCTCCATCTCTATTGTTCCACATCCTTTACACCTACATGTAAGGGAGTTTGCCCAGCATGTGGCATTTGCTTTGGGGATGGAAGGATGGGGCATAGGGAGAGAGGGATATACTGTGCCCCATCCCTGGAGGTTTTTAAGGATAGTCTGGATGGGACTTTGAGCAATCTGGTCCAGTAGGAGGTGCCCCTGATCATGGTAGGGGTGTTGGAACTAGATGATCTTAAAGTCCCTTCCAGACTACACTGATCTTGCCGCATGATACAAAAATCATGAGGGGAGGTATTGCCTGTGTTCTGTTACTTGTTACACATGTGGTGGATATTGTTTTGTATGCGTGTGGGGATATAATTTGCCTATTCCTCTTCCGCTATTGCGAAGGAGATACGGGAGAAGAAGGAAGACTAACAGGTTTTATTTGGCTATCTTAAGAAATTTGTTTGCTGGTATCACACATAAGATTTGTATATACTTAATGCTCCTCCCCCTGGAATCTCTGAAGTTTCTTCTGCCACATTGCTGCAGTGTAACTTTAGCAGGACCCAGTGGTGATTTATTTTAATGTGGTACTGAAATCTCCATTTGTAAATAATCCTGACTGCTGCTGTGTAAGGAGCTGATGAAATGTCTTTACTGGGTCTGCTGCATATGAAAGAAACCACAACATTAGGCAATAAAAACTACTAACAGAATGTTACAAAACCAAGACCATGACAAAAAAGCAGCATGTTGTGGATCTATCGTTTTTATTCTTGGGACAGATTTTATTATGTTTGGAACTATTACAAGACATGTTAAATATTGTGGATGATAAGAGGAAACAGACTCTTGGCAAACATGAAAAACCAATTACAGCATATTACCCTATTCCCCTTCCAATAAAGGAGGGGCATAGCTAAAAGTTTATTCTTTGCTTCTTAGCAGCTGGAAGGGGGGGGGGGGGGAGGAGTGTTCCTGCTAGAGGATTGGCTTGAGGACAGAGGCTGCTGCTGTAGCAGCCATGCCGCAGGCAGTCCAAGCTGGAGAAGACAAAACCAGCGTGTGCTGCAGCCAGTTCTACCCCAGCCTAAAAAACTTCTGGCAGGGGAGTGCTGATTAACAAATATTCTATACTATCAGGTATATTCTGTTCAGGATATTCTGTTCACTTAACTGTTCGCTTAAAAATAAACATTGTGTTTCATTGCAACCTTCAGAACTGCAAATCTTGCTGTTGTGGAGATAAGTATTTCCAAAAAATTGTTCTGACCACTAAACTGGAACATGCATCTGATACTCGGACACAGGATTTAACTGCTGCATCGTGTGGCTGTATGTGATGTAGAGGTGAAATGAGACATAGGGAAAATCTGCTCAGAAGTTCATGTAGAATCCATGCCCCTACACTGTACATCTGTTTGAATTCCTATTCCAAATTACACTTCTAAAATGGGCCGTGGCAACATGAGCATAGATGAATCAATGCAGAAGCATGTTTTGGGGTTCTCTTCCCCCCACAGCATAGTTCTGATTTTTAAAATTCCTTTTCTAAAGAGTCAGAGGTATAAATGTTTATATTGGGCAGAATCTTGGTGGTGGTCAGGACTGTGGTACATTTGGTGTGAATTATAGCAGGATCTAATTAGCCTTTCATACTTAACTAAAGCCCAGTACCATGTATTGAACTAACTGGAAACTGATCATTTACTTTTCCTACACTTACACATAAAAAAGTGGGAGGCAGGAAAATCCCTGAGAGGACAGCTCAAAAGAGACCAAGGTATGATTCTAACAATTGTCATTACTGAGGTTGATGCCAACCTCATGAAGTTTAACCATGACAAGTGCAAGGTTCTACACCTGTGTCGGAGCAATCTCAGGTACAGCTACAGGTTGGGCAGAGAAGAGATTCAGAGCAGCCCTGCAGAGAAGGACTTGGGGATGTTGGTTGATGAGAAAATTAACATGAGCTGGCTTCAGTGTGTGCTCACAGCCCAGAAAGCCAACTGTATCCTGGGCTGCATCAAAAGGAGCCTGACCAGCAGGTCGAAGGAGGTGATCCTGCCCCTCTACTCTGCTCTCATGAGACCTCACCTGGAGTATTGTGTGCAGTTCTGGTGTCCTCAACATAAAAAGGACATGGAACTGTTGGAACAAGTCCAGAGGAGGACCACGAGGATGATCAGGGGACTGGAGCATCTCCCATATGAAGACGGGCTGAGAAAGTTGGGTCTGTTCAGCTTGGAGAAGAGAAGGCTGTGTGGAGACCTCATAGCAGCCTTCCAGGATCTGAAGGGGGCCTATAGGGATGCTGAGGATTGACTCTTCATTAGAGACTGTAGTGACATGACAAGGGGTAATGGGTTAAAACATAAACAGGAAGTTTAGATTGGATATAAGGAAGAAATTCTTTACTGTAAGGGTGGTGAGGCACTGGTATGAGTTGCCCAGGGAGATTGTGAATGCTCCATCCCTGGCAGTGTTCAAGGCCAGGTTGGATGAAGCCTTGGGTGGCATGGTTTATTGTGAGGTGTCCCTGCCCATGGCAGAGGGGCTGGAACTAGATAATCTTAAGGTCCTTTCCAGCCCTAACCTATGAATCTATGATTATAAATTTGTCCAAGTTAAAATAGTCACGCAGAGGGCATGTTTTCACATTATAGCTTGGGAAAGCATTTTCAGATGTGGAAAATGCCTGCAATGTTACTTACAAGACAGTTACGTAAGAAGGGTGCTCAGGAGGACAACCCATGGGGTTGCTTGTGGTTGCCCATGAAGATGATGCAGGGAGAGGCTGTCAGTTTAACAAGCAGGACACAGCAGCTGAGCACCACCACCGGTGCAGCTGCTGCTGCTGCACAAGTACCCAAGCACTGGGTGGCTCTGATGGAGGAATCATTGAATTTGGGCACCCTGTTGCTGTTGGCAACACGAAGACCAGAGTTGAGGCAGTGTCCAGAATCTGAGGACAGGTACGAATGGTTTGTAGGAGCGGAGATGGAAACAGAAACAGCAGCAGAGGGCATGGGGAAAGTTAACTTATCAAGTGCTGGTTTAAAAAGTACCTGAATCCACATACAACCCATGTCTGGGATTGTGTACCAGTTTCTCAAATGTAGTTGGAAGCAAATTTTTCTGTTTCTTCTACCACATTTTAATTTGTGAGGATGCCAGGACTTCACCCACAGGTTGCTGGTTAAGTTCATGTCAAAAGTGCTTAGGATGGAGAATATGGGAACAAAAAAAGTTTGTGTTTCTGGTGGCCTTCAGCGTCAGTCCAGCAACCTCTGAGCAAAGCGTGACCCACTCACCTGAGCTCTCTGATCCCTCACGAAGGTCTGTGGGCCACCAGTGGGGTACAGAAATCCAGCAGGGAGGCTGTGTGGATTCTCCCTGTTCGGTGTTGGTCAACCCTCATCTCCCAAGCCAAACATTCCTGCACAGAAACTAAAACGCTTGTGGTGTCTTCCATAGCTACTGATGTGAAGCAGAAATGAAATCTGTGAAGTAAAGTATCTGCTATACTGTAATCCTGTCCAATGATTTTCTATAAAGCCATGTAACTTCAGAGGCAAGGGCACCCCTACCACTGAAGAAATTCACAGCACTGACCACTGTGCATCATAAACTAATACTTTGGTATTTTCTCTGGATTCCAATCCGAGTTCAGTTGTATTTTCTTTCCAGTTTTCAGAGCTCTGTGTCTTGTTTCTTCTATGTTTCTTCACATTTTCTCTACTTTGCTTCTCTTCCTTTCCATTACTTCTCCCACCTTTTCCTTTCCTCAGAGTTTTAGGAGTGGGTGACTGTTTAGGGGGAATGATTCAAGAAAGGGAGTGGCATATTTACAGTCCTTCTGAAAGACCTTTATTACTGGTAAAAAAAGAGTAGTTTCACTTTGTCTGCTCTGGAGGAAGTGATGCTTGCTTGTAACACTGCTGCTACATGAATTTAACATAGTTGGTTACAGACCCACCCGTTTATCTCTGTTGAGGAGCTGGGAGGAGTGTAGGAGCCATGAGGACACTTACCCAGCTGTGCCTCATGGACACATACCACAATGCTGGATAACCACAGCTGGTGGTAGGAACCCCCAGGCACAAAGCATTTGGTAAGGCTGTTCCTCCATACTGACAGGCCAGCATGGAGGCCACAAAATCCCCTCCTAGGTCACCCCCTAGCAGTAGAAGGCTTCAGGACAGTCAGAGGAGAAAAATGCAGTTGCCTATTACCAAATTTTTTGGCCAAGCACCCTCCAAGTGTTGGGGTTTTGTTTCTTTTGGGGCTTTAGGTTGAAGGTGTACGTAATTTCATTCCATCCTCTTACCTTTCCAGTTTAATTTGACTGCTGTGCAAGGCAGAAAGCAGTTTTCCTTCAATATCACATGAGCTCTTAAGTTCTAAAGTCGTTGAGTTACTGTTGCTCACCAAAAATGAAAGGGATCTGTTCAGGTTTGCAACAGAGGGAAAGCTGCTACTGAAACTACTGCTTCATGAGCCAAGCAGTGAGCTTGCTTCCTGCAGGAAGGAGGAGACCTCTCATTATCTGGGCTCTGGGAGCCAGTCTGTTAGAGCCGTCTCCTTTTCCTGCTCCCCAAGGATAGACGGAGGCTTTTGAGGTAGACAGAGCAGCAATGTGCATGTTCCCCAGGCTTATCAACCACTATCAGCTGGGATCTGCTGTTTGCTCCAGACTCCACCTTCGCTTGGAAAGGGCTTGCAGTTCCATGAGGTAATTCTTCCTCCCAGCGCTGTGGCTTGTTACCACGACCATGTGCTCCTACCATAAGGCAGGACTGAAAAAAAGCGTTTCCCCTGTATCCATGTGCCAGAACTTCCTCTTTCTGCACCCTACTGCCGTGCTCCGCGTGTTTTCGGTCCTGCCATCCCAAGGGCGGGCGGTCAGGGAGGGTGAAACACCACTCGCCGAGCAGATCCGTCGTTCTCCCACGCCCCGAGCTGCCTGACCAACCGTCCCGCTTGGGCCTGCCCGGACACCAGGGCCCGCCTGCGCTGAGCCACCGCCGGTTGTGAGGTAAAACCTGCCCGGCTGGCACCGAGCCCCCCGGGGCCGCTGTAAATCAGCGTTATTCTGATTTAGCTCGGATTGATTAGGAACAGGTCCCGGCTAACGTACCATAAACACCTATTAAACCGAAATAAATACGCCTACAGGGGACTGAAGTTAAACGGGCGCAGCTTTGCCTGCGCGGGGCAGCCGGCAGCAGGCCCCGCACACCGCGGCCCTGACCGAGCGCAGCCTCTACGAGCCCCGTGGCCGGCGTGGCCACCGACAGGAACGGTCCGGGGCAGCTCCCCTCCGAGCGGCGCCGCCGAGAAGCGGCAGGGAGCCTGTCGGGCGGCAGAACCCATTGGCCGGTGGCCGCGCCCAATCACCGCTGCCGGGCTCTCCTTCCGTGACGTGCGGGGAGGGCGCGGCCGGGGAGGCCGGTGGCTGCCCTCAGCCCTGTGGGATGATGGGGGATTGGCCCGGTGGCCGGGACCGCCGCTTCAGCGCGGCCGTCGCCACGGCAACCACCGTCCCGTGGGGTCGGGGTGATGGCGGTCTGGGCCCGCCCGGGGAGGCGGCTGTCATCGGCTGCTCGCTCTTCCCCGCTGCCCGCGTGCTGCCGCAGCCCCGGGCGCCTCTTCGAGCACCGTCGGGGGCCCGGGGTTGGCGGTGGCGGCTGCTGGGAGCTGGGCTGAGGGGAGCCGGGCGCTGGGGTCCCTCCCCGTCTCGGTCCCAGTTACCGCCGTGTGTGCGCGGCGTCAGGCAGAAGCGGCCGACCCGGTGGCTTGAGGAAACGGGCCCAACGCACAGCGGCCCGTCCTGAGGTGACCGCGGCTCCAGGGCCCAGGCCACCAATGGAGGTTAAACCTTTAAAGGAGAGGTTTGGGAAGGGGCAGGAAGTCAGGCCAGCACTTTGCATGCGGATTCCCTTCCCAGCGTTACAATAGCCGTGGCAGCTGTTGGTGTATTTAAGCCAGGCCACCTATCCAGGACGTCCGGAGACCGCCCTTCACGGTTTGCCTCGGCAGGAGCCGTGAGCGTTCTCCCCCTACTACACTGGTGTGGAGCCGCACTGTTGTGTGGGTGCAGGGAGATGGGGGTGAGTGAAGTTGCCCCTGTGACATGGGGCTCTGGTGGTCACCCAAGGACAGCTTAGCCTCTTTACTCCACCCCGAACCTGCTAGAGCCCATCCCAGAGCCCCTCCTCTGACCCAGCCCCACCTGAAGCATCGCTGACCTGTATATACCTACCCTGTTCTTTGACTGCCTATTTACAGTAAAGACCCAATATAGACATTATGCTTGAAAAAATCAAGTTTTTGGGTTTTAACATAACTGACTATATTTTATTATTTATAATGCTACCTCCAAAATAATTTCAACTTCTTACGTTATAAAGTTATCGTAGTGGAGGAAACCCCATTTTAGTTTTGTAAACACAGCACTGCACCAGCTACTAAGAAGAATAACTGTTACAGCTGAACCCAGGACAGTTTGGCAAAATGAAGGTGAAAAAAGAAGCAGTGGAGGTACATATTTTGATCTTTAAGTGGTTAAGGAATTAAACTTTTATGTCTGTAAAGTTTTTCACAACATTAGCAACAAGTATTTTTACTGTCTCCTGTTTTACCTATGAATGCAGCTAGAATCTATTTGATTTATATCCCTGTACATGCCTTCTGTACTGATACTGGCTTTAATTTTAGTATCAACTAGATTGGCCTCATCTAAAGAAAAAACAACATAGAACAGTTGCAAATTCCCCATAAAATCAGCTTCAGTTAATGAAAAATCTTCCATGGATGATTCCATACTAAATGTCATGCTTATGCAGTAAATTTTCATCTTACAAAGATGAAATAATGTTTTCTTTTTGCTCTAAGTCTTAATGAAGTGCTTGAAAGTTGACATTGGGCATAGTTGGTATTTGTCTGGGTGACAACTTCAGTTTCCCTTTGCTTTATGAACAGATAGAGCACACCACAGGCATGCCTGGACATTCTGAACAGCTCATCATTGAAGAGGCAGCTAACTAAACTGTAAGCTCAAAGTGAAAACCATGTCAGTGCTCTGGGATGAACACCTCTTCTCCTTTTTTCACCCTCCTGACGTCCCTAGTTTAGCTGGGTTTAAATAAATGGAGAAACACAGTGTGTGCAGTGCATACTTTTGGGTGCACACTAATGGTGTGTATACATTGAAATGCTAATATAAAGACAAGCAGCATCTGAAAAGCACATAAGCCTAATTGATTCCAGGCACAACTGGCCTGGATTTTGTTTCCTCTTATTCCAACTTTCTGACCTTGTAAAAATTATCTTGATTGTGTTATACTAAAACAAGGCCATGATCTTGCAAAAACTGCCATGTGTGCTAGTGCTGAGCAGTACCCAGTGAAGCACAGTGCGTGGAACAAATGTCAACAGCGTTAGGCCCCAAGTTCGTTTGTTTGTTTTCCTTTGCTTATATCTAATCATGGTGAAGCAATAGTCTCACTTCTGCTAAAAGCTGAATCTGAGGTTTCATTGTTAAAGGAGGTGAAAAACGTGTAGTAAAACTTGCGATTTGAAGTGAATCATAATAGGTTTTAAGTTCTTACAGCAGTTTAAGCTGCTGGGATTTTATGGCTTTTAGGCAAGGGGGAAAAACAGTGAGGGTTTAAAAATATCCATTGCCTTTAATTTTTTCAGCACTTTAGTGTGTGTGTGTCTGTGTGTGTAGTGGTATCTTTGTTTTTCAGAAGATTGCTTCTAGGGATTGGTAGGAAAGCTGAAGGACTTACTGGCTTTGATGATAACCCTCACGATACCGTTGTGCTTTTGTATAAACATGCGAAAAAAAAAAAAAGGCCTAGGACAGCCTTAAGTGTTGGATATGATGCTGGTATGGGCACTGGAGAACTTGTGAGTATAATTATATTTTCTGCTTGACAGAAATCCAAGGCCCAAGTACAGTGACCCTTTTATTGCAATAACTGCTGCTTCTGCTCCTTCTGTTTGGGAATCTGCAGCTTGCTGGCCTTAAATCTCTGTGAAGAGCTGTGAAAGAAAAATGTCTCTCTGGCATAGGGAACTGAACAGATGATCCCTCTATTGCTCCAAAGGCTCTCCTTTTGGTTTTGTTTTTCAGGATCAAGAATAAACTATGCATTTGTGCCTTTGTCAGCGAAGCTCCCATGGGGCAATCCTCGTAAGCACTGGTAGCAAGGAGGCTTATAAAAAGCAGCTCCAGGTGGAAGTGGGTCTTTTCCTGCTCCTCGCTCTATCCTGCTGCAATTCCCATTCATCCAGGCCCGGAGAACTGCCTGCCTTTCAGACTGAGCTGCACATATAAGAGAGTTGTGGTCACTTGAACCACGTATTAGACTATCTACCTTTACTTATGTTGATTCATTGATGTTCTGGGGAGTTTCCTTGCTTACGGTGTAGGACGTCAACTTAACAGTGGTCATTCAACAGCAAATGTAACTTGAAAAAATAAAGCCTGCCTCTAAAGAAAATGAGCAGCTTTGATGCATCTTTAAACTTGGTTTCAAAGAAGTTGGTGTTAATACAACTGCCATCATGTTGAGGCTTTTTAGCTTCCCTGTCAGCATTTCATATTTCCTTACAGAATGCAGAGTGAATGTGGTGTGTAGTGTATTATTTATTACATAATAAACCTGACAGCATGTGCAGTGTTCTGTCTCAAAAGCCATGTTGGAAACCTACTGCACCACAGATTAAACAGTGAATATTAGTGCTAACACTGCATCTGTTGTCTTTATCTTCTAGCAACTGTTTTACAACTTTTCTGTTAAGTTGCAGACAAACCCTGCTGCCTTAGAAGCCGTGATACGATCTGTGCTCTCAGTGCAAAAAATACAGCATGTTCTGGCTTGTGTTTTTTAAGAGAGAAAACAATTGGTTAATTGTTTAAAAGTTGTGCCATTCGGTGCAGCACTACTGAAGTGAGCAGCCTAAGAAGTATGACCCATGGTGTTAGGGATGCAGCTCACATCCCCTCCCTCCTCTGCAACCAGGGAGTGAGGACAGCAGGTCTTCCTGCCTGAACTGAACTAAGTTAGTTCTGTTCTTCTGCCAAGAATGTACAAATAAATACAGTGATTGTGTAAGTTACCTGTAATATCCAAAGTATAAACAAACTTGTGCATAGGAAAGGTGAGTTTCTGGCAGGTAGTTACCTCAGCACTGCAGAGCTGAGGTGTTCATCTTTAAAGATAGGACAAATTTTAGTTACCTACACAAGACAGGAGCAGAAAAGGTACAGAGTGGAGGGATACAAAGTGAGGGGTCAGCTGCTGCTGGTGGTGGTGCTTTTAACACTGGCCTGTGTCTCTAGGTTTACTTCTTCAGGACTGGCACTCAGTGGTATTCAGCACCTCTACTTTCAAATCAATACATGCCAACAACAAATACTTGTCAGCATGAATGACAAGTATGCAGCATCTCGGGGAATCAGATCTAACATGTCTGCTCTGAATATATACACATGAAGTGCGGTGTTCCTCGATCTCTGAGTTGCTACTATCAGAGTACCTTTTGTTAAATTATTTTTTAAATTCAGCATTTGTAAGGTTCAGTTCCTAGTGCATTGTTTTAAATACTTGGATGATCAAACTCTACTTAGGCAGGCAGTTGTGTCTTTACTTGCAATGAAGTACTGCACAAGGGATACATGTTTGGCTGGATTATGAGAAACTGGAAAGACCATACAAGTAATTTTAAGTACTTACATGCTTGCTGAATGTGTCTCACACTTTTTGAATGTCCCAAGCTCCACAATAATTAATGTAGGCTGCAGTGGGAGTGTGTTCTCTTTTTCTGCTGCATTATGCTGTTTCCATAACAGAGTATTGATTCATACTCAGAGTTGTGGCCCGTCTCTTAAAGTGTTCTGTGCCAGTGAAATCCAGACCACAGTGGACAACTTCACTACTCTGTTGCAGCAGAAGTCTTCCATGAGCTTTAAGCTTAACTCTGTATGAGGCTGTTTTCTTAGGGGTGGATCTGAAATAGTGGAAGGAGCAATTTATTTTATTCTCTCTATAAGCATACAGTGATTTAATGTTTGTCCCTCTGCCCTTCTGAAACCAAATTTTCTACAGATGCCCTTTTGGAAAAGTAAAAACATGCAAAAATGAAAACAATAACCAGTTTCCTGGAGAAATCAAGGTAGATGGTTAGAGGGAGTTTGTAGAGAATCACCAACAAAATAGCAATGAACGATGTAATATTTTTGCAAAATGCAGTGCTCTCTTAGGATTTATCAATAGGTGGCATATGTAAGTCATAGAGAAAGATGTGAGGATGACTCCAGTAAGTGCCGGTGAGGCTTCAACTGCAGCATTGCCTTTGGTTTCATGTTCTCTGCTGAAAATTTAAGCACAGGACAAGGCAAGATAAAATAAGAGATGTAAAATATAAAAGGAAATGGTAAAGGGAAGGAGGATGTTGAATTTTTAGAGGGGAATTGCATACATTTTCCAATGTGTAAAAGGTTAGAGAGGTTTGATCAACTTTTGAATGCTGGGGGAAAGATGAGATCTGTACAGAGGGAAAATGTCTCAGACTAGCTGTTAGGAGGGTGGGAGGATGATTTAAGTTGGGTATTAGGAGAGGAGGGGGAGATGCAACAGCAATAACTTCTAAATCGTTACAGTGAAATACCAGAACAAGCTACTTAGGAAGTTTGGGTATCTGCTTCATGGAGGGTTTCTAAGAACAGGTTAGACAAACATCTGTTGGGGATTTTCTGGGGCTACTTTATCCCATCTGCGTGTGGCCGGGGGGGGGGACCAGATGGTCTCTTCAGATTCCTCTCAGTCTTCTTCATAGAAGTTTATCAAGCAGGGAGGGGAGTGGACCTGAGTTTAATGAAAAAGCAGTATCATCCTATTAGTTGATCCTCCTTCAGAGTAGAAAAGGAATCCGAGAAACCACATCTAACTTAACTATATAAATAAATGTGGGGTTTTTTTTGTTGTTGACTTGCAATTTTATGAAGCATTTACCAAAAAATACATGGAAAAGTGATAAAACTGAACATATTTAATGTGTTTCTTACTGCATTTGTAGTGTGACAGTCTCAAGAAACAATTGTAAATGCACTTTTGCTTGGTGAACGTAAGTAGAATAATAAATGTATAAGTACTTTTCAGTGGTATGATAAATGTGTGTTTGGCCATGGGTTTTAAATGACCTCCCAAGTAATGACAGCATGTGTAGGTATAGGTGGGAATGTTGCACCTGGGTGCTTCTTGCATGTGCAAACCCAGGAAGTAACTGTGACAAGTCCTTCTTGCTCCCCAGTCCACAGAAGGAACAAGTTATTCAGCACCTGCTCTGACAAATCTGTCTTGAAGGACAGCTGAACAGAAACATGAAAGTCAGCGTTGGCAGGTGAACTCGGTGACTGCGGTGGTGCTTACCTCCCTGCCTCCTTCCTTCCCTCCCTGCCTGCCTGCCTCCCCCGGGCTGCGCGTTAGGAAGTTCCAGTGAAATATAGCTGCTGTGGAAAGTCCGGCTCAGAGCAAGCGAGGAGGAGACGTGACCTCTTGGCGGCGAGTCAGATCCAATTTTACAGGCAGCTCTGAGTCAGGGTGGAGCCTGTGAACTGAACTTTGTGTTTAAGAAGGAAGTGATGTTGGTGGCAGCTTGTGTTGCTAAGCAGATGAGTTGCTGTATTTTTATGTCAGCTGACAGTTTCGTCGGGTGTGTGACTTCATTCTTAGATACAGGCAGTGCCTTCCATTTATTAAGGGCAAAGGTCAGAAATTGTCAGTGCTGCGATAGCTGTGTCTCTCCATATAAGAAGAGGTATGTTCTACTGAGCCGTCAAAGATGGAAACAGGACTCCTTCTGCACGGTGAAAACAAAACCAACTGTGAGCCTGTCAGTTCATGTCATGGTCCTAAAGTGAACGTCCTCATGAGTGGGGATGTTGTGGAGTAGGTCAGTCCTGTGGTGTTACTCCGTTTTTATAGGAGCTCACTGGTGTTTCCCATTAAAGAGGCAGCCCATCTAATGAAGTGTCTCATCTCCAGCAGTAATGGGAACTGGTGACTGAGGAGAGCAGTCAGGCACTGGTCTGTTAAATGGGAGTATAGGTGGAAAGCTGTGCAATCCCTTGTACTTCAGTAATCTAAGCAGCGAGTCTGGGAATGAGAGCTAGTTGTTTACCACCTCTGTGCCGCTGGCACTGCCGTGGGTGCTGCCTTCCAGCAGTCCAGATCATCATCGGGAGCTGGCAGTACCCAGGCAGCAGCTCCGGGAGACTTGAAGGGGAAAGTGCCGGTTCGGGGTGCCTGCCCACTGCTCTGTGTGTGCCCACACAGTCACAATGTGCTGTCTCAGGTGCCTTTTCCACCCGTTCCCCCCTTAAAGTCTTTGGTTAGGTCCTTAAATTAGCCTTGAGAGAGCAATGTGTTGTTATCCTTGTTCTGAGGGAGGTTACTGTGTCAGAAAACTTCCACAGAAAGGAATGAATTCTGGGAGTAGTATTAATTCTTGCTGCTGTTGTTGTGTTCCCAAGGATGAGGCAGTGGGGAAGGCTGATGTCCCTCTGACAGCTTTGCCCCAGTAAGGCCTGGCAGGTGAGTGGTGCTTGGGCATGAGCTGCTGGGGCTTGCTGCCCCTCTGCTTTTCTAGTTCAGTTCCTCCATTAAGGAGCTCCCTGCCACAGAAGTCTCTGTTTGGGTCAGTTCCAGCTTTTGTCACTCTGGCTGGCATGAGTTTCAAAACGAAAGCCCACAACACAACTCCCCACACAAGTGTCTACCCTGGCTTGCCCTCCATTCTCTTAGCTTGCTGGTGCCACAGGGTGGCTCCTTGTAGCACTGCTTTTAGCTTTCCAGCTGAGATCGTTAAGGTTTTTCACCCTGATACGAGTTTGCTGCTTCCTGGAACTAACCAAAATCCACATGCTCTCCATACTTTAGCACGATGTGCTCTGAAAAAGCAATTTCTTCTGAGAAAGGAATACTGGTTTTCTTTAGCATGTGGCACACAGTTATTGTCAGTGCCCTTTTGGCCACTGCACCCCCCCAGTCTCCTGTGCTTCCACTGCTGCCTAATTTTTGAGAAGCTTTGAGTAAAACTTTCACTTGTGAAAGAAAAATAAACCATATTTTTCTCTTCATTTGGCTGCAGCAATGTTCAGAGATTAATAAAACATGAGTGTGTGTCAGGGTTGTGGGATTACAGAGCCACTTCCCACCAATCATGGGACAAAGCATGATGCCTTAGCTCATCTGAGGCTGCGAAATGGCATCCTGAATACCAAGCCTGAAGCGCTCAGAGGACAGCTACTCCAAGCACAAGCTTGGGCTCCTGGTGCAGTTTCACATCTCTCTTTGCACAAAAAGAAGTCAAAGAAAGGCTGCGAGATGAGAAGTTGAGGTTTGGGTACATCTGTACAGAACTTCCTTGGGAGGCACAAGCGCCTTCTCAAAGCCAAAAGCCCTCTGGAAGAAGCCAGCTGGAGTATATGGCACAAGCACAAGTACTTCCTGTCGGAACTGAATCAGGGTTTGGATGGAGCAGGTGAGGAAGCAGATGTATTTAACAGAGCTTTCCTCAAGCAGGGTGGGTTGCTCTGAGCTCTCTATGCATAGCCCTCAGCATTATCAGCTCTCAAACAAGCTGAATACCTGGACCAGGTTGTCAGGAAGGCATGGACTGCTGGGGCCTTGTGGCCTGAAGGTCTTAGGACACATGGCTTGCATGGGGACTCAGTGTCTCTGAA